ATCAGTATCATTCGCACTGATTCAGTACTTTCGAGGTGGTTTTCAGCTCTTCTGAAGTGATGCAATACTACTTTTCCGTACAGTAGTTATTTATTACTTTTTGAAGTGCTTCAATAGTTTTCTTAAACTATTCCGAAGAGATTCCTAGCTTCTCTGAAGTGATTCAGTACTTTTGAAGTGTTTCATAACTCTTCTGAAGTGAATGAGTGCTTTTCGAAGTGATTCTAAAGTGTTTCTAACTTTTTCTTAAGTGATTAAGTGCTTGTTGAAGTGTTTTTAAATTGTGCACAGGTCATTCAAACCTATTCTGAAGGCAATCAGCTGATTTTTAAGAATCCAGTGATGGTTCAGTTTTTTCAGTGATTCCAAACTTGAACTAAATTGGAATGATTCAGCCTTTTCTGAAGTAATTTTAAGTTTTCTAAAGGAATTTAGCACTTCCTGCACTTTGTAGATTTGATTCCTAACTCTTCTGAAATAATTCGGCACTTTAAAAGTGATTCCTAGCTCTTCTGAAGTGATCCAATACTTTCCAAAGTGATTCAGAACTTTTGAGTAGTAATTTATTTCATTAGCTGCGATAGCTAACTAGTGTTGCACCGAATATCCGATCACTATTGTTTTCAGCCGAATACTTAGGCCGATTACCAAGCTTTACACTTTTAAAATTTTGCATTTGGTTGAATAGCACTTTTTGATAAATCACTATTACCACCTCTTTTGAAAAGCCGGCGCCGGTGGTGTAGTGGTAAGCGTGACTGCTTTCTCACCCCAATGGGTCTGGGTTCAATCCCAGAAGAGTTCGGTGGGATTTTTCTGAGGCATAAAAATCTCTGGTCACGTCGGAAGAGAAGTAAAGCCGTTGGTCCCGGCCCATGTGTGTTTGATTGAATGGGTGCGATGGGGGCGACCCCGGCGTAGTGGTTAGCATTCATACCTCTCACGCCAAAGTCACGAGTTCAAATCTCACCCCCGTACAAGTCATGAATGACCCAAGAGCGTTAAAGTGACTATAATTAAAAAAAAAAAACAAAAAAAAAAATTTGTGCGATATCCTACGCAGGTGTGGAAGCTGCCTTCCTGCACATTCGATTACCGTCAATGGATGGCAATCGATGTCCGTCGGTGATTGGCACTAGATTGCGGAACAGAGACCGACGTTAAACAAAGGAAAAAAGAACTCTTTTGAAATGATTCAGTACTTTTCGAAGCTATTCAATACTTTTCGAAGTTATTTCCAGTTCTGCTGAAGAATATTCAGATGTTTCGAAGTGATTCCTAACGAAGTCATTCAATACTTTTTGAGTTGCTTCAATAATTGTTTGAAGTGATTCAGTACTTCCCCAAGTCATAAATTCTTCAGAACTGATTCAGAACTTAAGAAGCGGTTTCTAGCTCCTATGAAGTAATTCAGTTTTGTTTTATAGTGATCCTGAATACTTCCAATGTTATTTAGCGCTTTACGAAGTCAATTTATAGTTTATTCAAAAATGATTTAAGACTTTCCTGAAGTGATCCAGTATTTCCAAAGTGATTGCAAACTATTGTGTAGTGATTCAGTACTTTCTTAAGTGTTCATGAACTTCTATCAAGAGATTCAGTGCTTACCGAAGTGATTCCGAACTGACTTGATGTGATCCAATTACTTCCCAAGAGATTCCTAACGTATCTGTACACGGCCCCGGCGTAGTGGTTAATATCTTTACCTCTCACGCCAAAGTCATGAGAATTTCATCCTGGAAAAGTCACGCATGGCCCAACAGTGTTAAAGGAATGTTGATAGATGCTTAATAACTAAATTTATCTGAAGTCATTCAGATGAAGAATTACATTTCTGAAATAATTCAGTACTTTCCTATGTGGTTCTGACAAATTTTGAAGTGATTTCAAACTTTGTTGATGTGATTCGTAACTTTCCAAAGTAATTCAAATTATTTGCAGCAGTGATTTAAATCTTTTCAGAAGTGATTTCGATCTTTTCTTAATTAAACAGCAAACATTTAATGTTGGTATTACATCAAAGTGGATGCACTTCAATCGCATCAAAAAAAAATATGGTGTAATATTACTTGCCAAAAAGGACAAAATTATCATTAATACAGTGCATTAACTGACACTACGCTCCTTTTACTGCATTTGTTTTTTTTTGGCCATAAAAATTACATGAGATTTTCAACATGACTGAAGTGCATCCTCTTAGATGTAATATTTTTTTTTTATGTGCAATTCAGTACATCTAGGAGTGTTTCTAGACTGTCCTGAATTGATTCAGTACATTCCAAAGTGATTCCAACCTTCTCCGAAGTCATTTCAAGCTTTCTTGGGGTGATGCTTAGCTTTTAAGAGGGTTTTGCATGATTCAATTTGAGTGTTGCAATAATTTGACAAGCGATTCCATACTTACGATTAGTGTTTCCTACCCAAGACATACCGAAAAATCATTCTCGGGAAATTTGCAAAAAATCAGTGTTTTTTTCCTGATTAAAAAATTAAGAAAAGCTACAAGATCTTTCGTAGAGAAATCAAAAGATACTTCAGAAGAGAAAGTTTGAAGAATCATCCAGAAGAATCTAATGATCTCTTAAGGGATATTGGAAGTATTTGGTAGAGTTAAGCTAGAAGATATTTACGGAGGAGGTCAGGTAAATCATAAATGATCATGGGATTGTCATTGCAGCATCTATATATAGGTCTGATAGGTTGATTAGCTCCCGTAACGTACCACGAAAAGGTGATCTACCCACGTTACGGGGTAGAAGAACGATTAGGTTAGATGAAAATGTCTAGGAAAGTTGGAAGAGACTTCCGAATTAAAAAAAATAAAAGCTTATCACGTACACAACCGCAACAAATCAACAATAGATCACGTATGATAAGGGTATCCCACCGGGTAGCAAACGAAAATCAGAATAGTGATAGTAAATTTAGTAACAATGATTTTCAACTATAATATACTCACAGAAACTATCCAAGATCGATGTCGAATGGTGCGGATTCATACATTATGAATTCAAATTGCATCACATTTGAATTCACTTGATTCAGATTCATTTCAAGCATATTTTTCACCAGCTGATTCTAGCTACACAAAAAGAACAATAATTTACGTTTCTTCCATATTATTTTAATTTTTGCTTGACTGACACTTTAACCATTAATCTCAGCCGTTCACTCCAATCAGACAAAGGCCAAGCTCAAGCAGTCTGTTTTAGCAAGTTCAATATTTTCAAAATAATTTCTATTTTTGGTATGACCAATTTGTCCACAAGACCCCCAACAACCAATCGTTCTAGGTACCGTCAAACCAGTATCTCTTATGGCTATTGATTTTCCCACAAACTATAACAATACTCTTACCGAACGCCACTCTCCAACCTCATCGCCACGGTTACCTCTATGGTTAAACCCTGACCAATCAAAGATCGACTTTCAGTAATTGTTCACTCTCGCAAGAGTCATTTCCATGCACACGGTTGTTTGCAAGAAATTATTAAGTGATTGAAAGATCAAATACAACACGATCCGTCGATGATGGTGGACGGCGGTGGTGAACAGAACAGCGTGCCTTCTACGTGGTTCTCCTTCTCCACCGCAGCACCACTCACAGCCAAGCGCAGCAAACATGATGCACATTTTGCAACATTCACACGGCTTGCAATCCTGGCAGTATGTAGTGATTGACTGAATGACGACGACCTGCGGTTAGCCGTGCCATTTTCCCGCCGACAAGTCAAACAGTCCTTTTGTCGTAGAACACGCGACGAACCATCAGCCATCAGCATTCAAATATGGATCGAGTGCCGGTGGCCATTCTCCCATCCATCATGAAAGGGCAATTGTGATGAAATTGGATCCAAGTGAGATGCTTAGAATCTCGGTCTACAAACAGAGCTGGAGCATCTCATCCCTTGCATGTTGCTGCGAGAGTTGTAGAAGCAACGGAGCTGCTGACGGTGATGGTGCCCTTGGCATCAAGTTGTTGTGTGATCATTAATTATCTTTCAATTTCAATTTTCGGTGCAGTTAAAGCGAGTGGCAGATGGAAATCTTCAATTACTGCTTGAGAGACCGGAATATTGCAGTAATTTTTGTAAGTGGTTAAATAAAAAGACACTAATTGAGTTAGCAAAGAGACGTTTAGCGAGATTATTCGTATGGCTTCGAAGTTTGTTATTTACGATGCATGGAAGGACTAGTGATTAAATCACCATCATCATCCTTTTCTTCACGTCTTCAAATTCATCTAACAATGGACCAATTATAGGCACGTTATGAGATAATTTGAATGAGAATTCGCTTTTGTCTTTTTAATTCGATCACCTATTCATACCTGTCAACTTTCTCAAGCTCATCCTTGCGGCTCTTCAGTGTCAATACAAACAAACTAATCATCAACTGGTTTTTCACCTCAAGCAGCAGCAAATTGACCCACTAAAACAGTAATCGGCACCCACCAGCTCTCACCAGCGGCTTCTCCATTATGCTTGCTTCAGTTGGTGTTGGATTCGATAAGCATAATACGAGGAGATTTTCTTCCACCATTCGACACACGATCATCCAATCATTCATAATTTGCATGAGAATAAAACTACCACACCGTCGACTAGTGGAACAAGTGCCCATTCGTGAGAATATGTCTCGCTTGATGAACAATAAAAAAAATATCCGAAACCGAAGGGAGACGGTTCTTTGGGGGAGGGTACTAATTATGCTCGGTGGCAATTGTTTGATCTGCAGGGGTGTAATTAACCTTTAACTGCATTCAGGTTGCTTGCAGTAGCTACGAGTTTGATGAAAAACCAATCTGATGTGGGAGTCATAATTGTTTCTGTACCGTGTTCTTCAAGGCAGTTTTTATGATTGACATTATTAGCTGGCTGGAATTTGAAGAGCTATAAAAAAAGCATGTTGAGACAGTGGATATCTTTATTGTTTTAATGGGGTTCTATTTCACCACAATGGCATTGCTTAAAACAACTTCACCGTTTTTCCTCTTTCAGTGCATGTATCCAAGACTTCCCACTACGCTGAGCACGAGCCCACTTATGCGCACTACGGTGACTACCATGATGGATACTACGGCCACTATGACGATAGCCATTACTACTAAGCTCCAACCACAAACACCAAATGGAAGAGGCCATCGTCATCCCACCTTCCCTCCATTGACAGCAACAACATGCCAGTAGCTCGAAGAACAACAACTTCGAATCGTTCGTCCATCGCATCGCGGTAGTATTAGGAATCACTCTCCCACTCTCCTCCCATGGAAATCGTTCTCCATTTAAGGCCAAGGTCATCGCCAGACCTTGCCCGGCTCGAATTTGAACCGCAAAGTGCAACCCAAGTATAGTTTTAAGCATGCAGTTTAATGTTTACTCATACGAATAGGTTAAGCTTCGCTCTTTCAGCTCTCTACTTGTATGTAAATATGTGAACTCTCTTCTTCCGGCACGATTGTTGCGTTGTAATTGTTGCAACCAAATTACCCTAAATTGTGCACTTTGAACACATGTATATCTCGATCTTTCCATCTAAATTTGTGTAAATCACCACCTATTATCGGCACTTTCTCACTCAACAATGACCTTTTCTATCTTCCATACCATTTCCTTGAGACTGTACTTTAATTCTACTCTAATTACTTGTTTGTTACAGTGTTCTACTTTGAACTTGTTGAAATTGCTGAATCATTGCCGTAGTTTAATCCAAGTGTTTTACATGTCTAGTTAAGTCCGAGAAATGTTATATTGCAAAACAAATGAAATAAATGTTTCAAAAAACTTTACATGGAGAGTCGTTTTTTGTTAGGTCACACAATATCACATTTACCCAAATAGTATCAAATGTTATAAATTAACAATATGGTATCTCTCTCCTCTTTCCCTGACACTAGCGCCGCTAGTGATACGAAAGGTGACTAGTACACTGCAAATTTAGCGCTTAGCAGTTGATAGCTCAATATCGGCTATCGAAAACAACTCACAATTGAGTCAAATGTTTTCACAGTATTGTACAAAATAAGAATATAAACTACTCACCATGGCGGACAACATCATGCACTACTTTTTCCAACGATTGCAAATAAACGTTTACTCCACTTTCAGTCCAAAACATTCAACTCTATCGTTATTGCTTCGACGTATGATGGAGGAAGCTAGTAACTAGAGCAACATGTTAAAAGGGCCTATGAGCCAAATCTAAACAATGACTTTAAAAGTCTATTGCTCGTGAATATAGACACATTCTGCCGAACCGAGACCTGAGAGAAAGTTGACTCTATCAGCTGGTATAGTTAGTTTGTGTAGGCGTGTTGTAATTCACGAACAATCGACGTTTAAATGCATGGTATGCATGGTATGACTTGTATGCCTTTTTCACATGTTGCTCGAGAACATTGTGATGAACTCAAATATATGTACACGGACACTGAGAAGAACTCAGACAGAGAGTCACTTCAACTCAGTTTTTGGATGAATTGTTAAAAACTGCAGATAGTCAGCCTAGGGGCATGTGGTCTAGAACTGTAAAAAAACGGCTAAAAGTCATTATTTCATGAATCTTGCATTTTAGACCAGTGGTGTCTTCGGCAAGATTTTGGATGACGTTGACAACTCAATGATTAATCCTCCTAGAACTGAGATCCAAAATATATTTTTCCAAAAATTCCATATTCAGGATTGGAGTCTTTGGCAAAGTTTTAGAAAATATCAAAACAAGAAACTTTGCTGAAAATATTGCCTTTTTTTCACCTCATTGAAATATGAAACGTTTTTGGTGGAAAACCCCTTAATAAAAGTTTTTACTTTATAATTATTTTCTTTAAACTTCTCCTGGTTTGAAATGTTAAACGAAATTTTTCAAAACATCAATACACATAAATTTGATCACAGTCATAGCACACTAGATCACAAAATAGGTGAGTTATTATTGATTTTGCTCTAAAAATATTTTATTTTGCCACATAGTTACAATTAACTACCATTTCCCACGACAAAACGATAGGAATAGAAGTATTTAAGTGTGTTTTCTTCAAAACATTCAAAATTTTTTGAAGAAACATGAATTATATGTGAAATGCTACATGATATGGAATGTTTTTTTTTTATGGAAAAGCCCTTAAAAGTGATTTTTTCCAACATAGAATATTTTTTGATCCTCTACTGCTTCGAAGTAGTGTCCAAAATTGTTCAATACATCAGTATACACACATTTTCTTAATATTCAAAAGGTTTTGAAAAGGTAAGTAATTCATGGTTTTGTTAGAAAAACATACTTTTGCCATTTGACAGCAATTTGCTATCATTGTCCACCAAAATTGTTTAAATAAATTTGCAATTCATACAAAAACTTCTATTAGAAATCTTACTCCAGGAATCTTGTTTTCGAACGAATTACAACGCATTTGCTGCCACGTACATAGACTTCTCTGAAGTTTGCCGTATAACGGCATTGTGTCTAATGTCGTTTTCGTTTTTGCGGTGTAGCTACACCGGTGCTACACTGCCGTACACCGAAATATTTTAGGGTGTAGATATAGGATGCACCTTTGTTTACAAACAAATGATGTTGAGCTGTTAAAGACTTGCGCTTATTCCTGCTTACACTACACCAGTGCTACACCGCAAAAACGAAAACGACATAAGCTGACCCCATTGTTGCAGATTCTTGCATTCAAATGGTGTGATAACGTCATTGGTTCTATGGAGCTCACGCTTACTCAAACATAGCAGGCGTTGATTTTTTTTGTGTATCTTCGGCCTATCAAAATCACATGTTTGTGAGCCCACACGTGTTTTTCGAGTGTTTAAAATTACAGCTTCAAAATCGTTAGAAAGATATGTTTATCTTTTGTTGTAATAAAGTAAAGTAATTACGCTTATCATAGAATGAAGCCATTTTTTTTTCATTGCAACGGAAACTAAATATTTGAAGTTATCCGAGAGAAATCAGCTTTTGGTCGAGATCAGCAGAAAAAAAAAACCCTCACCTGTTATGTTTTGAATTGCGTTTTTTCATTGAATTCAAGAAATTCGACGGATCTCATCATTCCACATGTTCAAAGCAAAATTTAGTCATTTATTTGTACAAATGCCACAGGACACTTTCTGTTTTTGAAGCTGAATATAGTAAGTGGCATGATGAAGAAGTTTGTTGTAATATCGAGGGTTCTTTTGTGGAAACGAAGGAAAAGGAGACGAAGAAAGGTCAACCATCTGTGACTTTTGAGGATTCGTCAGCTCGCAGTAAGCGGCTGAAAATAGGGATACTCAGAGGTCAGCATTTGCGGTGAAGATCTACTGCGTGCAGCTTCTATGCAGTTCAGAACTGTAGGCAATGAGTCTGCAGCAAAGTTGTTTCGAATTGTCGCTGAAGATCCTCAAAAAGCCAGTGATATTGTTGATACATATAAGAAAACAGAAAAGCATTCATTGTCATTGGCTTGTACTCGAAAAAAATGCACCATTTTTATCCGTGTGTAACTTTTTTATCCGTGTGTAAAAATTGATGAAAATCTGGATATAACTAGTTTGGAGTGAATTGTTCACATGTGCAAAATTTCATATCAATCGGTTCAGTGGCTATTGAGATGTCATCGAAACAAGAAGAAAATCGCCGGAGAATTTTGCGCGCCGTCATGGAAAATCCGACTGCGACCATGAGATGGATCGGAAGACAACTGGGAATCACCCATACAACTATGTCTCGGGTGGTAAAATCGTTTAAGGAGTCCCAGACGACCGAGCGGCGGGCTGATAGTGGAAGAAAATCGAAGGCAGCTGACCCTGTGAAGGCCCGGAAGGTGTTGGATTATTTCAAGCGTAATCCGAACCTTTCGATTTGCGACGCGGCTCTGAAGGCAAAGTGTTCCGCCTGGTTCGTTCAGCAAACCATGAAACGAGCTGGGTCTTGTGTATTCAAGGTCTGGAAGGCACTGAACCGGCGTGATCAACAAAACACGGCGGCCAAATCCCGCGCAAGGAAGCTTTATCGAGAGTGGTTAACGAAACCGATTTGTGTGGTTATGGATGACGAAACCTACATCAAGGTAGACGCAAAGCAGATACCGGGGCTGGAGTTCTACGTTGCCAAATCACGGTTTGATGTTCCGGAAGACATAAGGAAGAAGAAAGTGGACAAATTCGCCAAAAAATACTTGCTCTGGCAGGCCATATGCCAATGCGGTAAACTGAGTAAACCGTACATCACAATGGGTACCATCAACAGCGAAATTTACCACACCGAGTGCCTCCAGAAGCGTCTGCTGCCCTTCCTGCGGTCCCACGGAGGCGAGACATTATTATGGCTTGAACTGACATCATGCCATTATGCGCGATCGACGTTGGATTGGTACAGAGACAATAACGTTGCCAACCCCCCAAATTCACCAGAGATTCGTCCGGTGGAAAGATTTTGGGCCATAATGAAGGCCAAAGTTCAAAAATCGTCCAAGGTGTTTAAGAACGAGCTGGAGTTGAAGAAATAATGGATGAAAGTGACCAAAAAGGTCGGCTCCACCATCCATAAAATGTAATGAGGGGTCTTAAGGGAAAGGTGCGAGCTTTCAGCGATGCAAAGGAAATTGAATAAAGTAATTATGTCGAAACATAATCCATAAGTATTAGTTCATTCCCTGAAAGTTTCAAGAAAATCCGACTTAACATAAATTTTTAGCGAACACTTTTGTCTGGTGCATTTTTTTCGAGTACAGGCCTTATTGGCCTGAGGGAAAATCGTACCATGTTGACATTTTCTCTGCATATAATTTGATACTAGAGTCCAAGAAAAAAGCGTACTCACGATCAGAAGCAATCACAGTATCTGAAACAAGTGCAGAAGTTAAGCTACAGGATTTGGTAAATAGGTTTGGACGGTAAGAGGATCACGCACCACTTGGAAAGGGAAGGATTGTTGGACAGTTCAATAGAATTGGAAATGGGATTGCTGCACAAGTGGGATTGTGATGGCAGTAGTGGGAACCCACAGAATAAACAATTGATTTCCTCTGAGTCTTCAGATGATAGCTCTGTACTGTTGACAGCTATAGTGCCGCTGCAGCTACGAACCATCAGGTCCTCCGGTCACCTTTTGGACAAATCCTGCGCCCTCATCAACATGGTTTTGCAAGCCTATCCGCATATAATTCATCAAAGAAAATAAAACAACCTTGAAACGTGAAGAACAGTACACAGATAAAAATTCTGAATTTTAATTGTGATGTAAACATTTATTCACGTAGACTTGTATTTCATATCACGCAACCGAGCAACTTTTTTTTTTTATGATCCATTTATTCGTCAAGGCTCAAATGCGTTAGCTCTGCGAATATGTTTTACATGATCGTGTTTACATACTGGTGATTTTTACAGAGTGAATATCATTTCTTACAACTAATGTTAGTAGAACTCGCGGCTTACCTGAGATTAGGGATAACATTTATTGATCATTTGTAGGGAGGACAAGGGATAGCATTTTGAACTAATTTAAAACTTAAACGCAAACGATGACTAAAACACAAAACATTAAACACATACATCAACAGCTTTAAGAAAGTCGTAAATAAGCTTCATGATGTCGATATCACGGCAAGCCAAGACGTCTCTAATTGGCTTAAAGAGTTGTTTTCCTCAGACCCTAATGGAATCTCACAGAACGGATCTCGCCTCATGATGCAAGGAGCAGGACCAAACAACATGCTCGATGTCGTGATAACCGTTTCCACAGGTGCACAAGTTGCTGTCGGCAAGCGTAATAC